ATATAATAGTAGAGACTTCCAGGACATCATGATGAAGATGCCCCTTTAATATTGCTGATGGAATTTCCGGGGACTTTTCATACCTGACCTCTGACCCCCACTCTCCTGTGGCCATACTTTGCCTGATCATCCAAAGCCACCTCCCTGGGCTGCACTGATGACTTCCTCTTCCCTTCTGCAGGATGGTCAGATGTTACCTCCACCAATTATCATTGACATTGACAGACCCTACTTAATAAATCCTTGCAAGGTGAGGAAGAAAGATCAACAACATTAAGGGTATTGCAAGGGAGGCTTTATCACCTATGTAGTCTCAAATGTCCTTTGATTCCAGGAAAGCCACAAAACATCTGAGACACTGAAGAATCTAATCATGCAATTCCTGCAGCAGTAAGTACCACTGAGAACACCAGGAATGGGGAGGGCTAGGACAGACCAGGCCACCTCAGCATGGGTCTGCTTACAGGGACTTCCAAGTTCCACTTGAGATCCAGACCATAGAGCTTGACTGTATTCATTGTTTCCCCCACAGATATTACTTGATTTACGACTCTGGAGACCGACAGGGTCTCCTGGGTGCTTATCATGACAAAGCTTGCTTCTCCTTGACCATACCCTTCAACCCTGAGGACCCATCTCCGTGAGTATCACAGCTCAGCTTCTGCTTCTGAGCCCTGTGGCTCCCCAGCACACACTGGTCAGTTCCTGAAAACACGCACGCTGACTCGACCACCACCTCTTGTTTCTTTTGCTCCTAGAAGCAGCTTGTGCGACTACTTCAAGGATAACAGGAATATGAAGAACCTCAAGGACCCCTGTGCGTGTGTGATGGGGAAAATTGAGCAGGGAAAGGGGGCGTAAAGGGATCAGTCATAGGGCCCAGGGTGTGGCTACCCTGACCCTTGCTCTCCTTTCCCCACAGACCTGCGGGTTCAGCTGTTGAGGCATACAAAACATGACACTGTGTGCTCCCTCTGTGTGTTGCCCAAAACTCAGCATGACCTCAGCTCCTTCGTGGTGGACATGTGGTTCCAGACGGTGAGCCCCTGCTTTTTCCCTCGGCAGGCCCAGAAAGACACAGGTGGGTAGGAGGTATAGGTGGTGACTCTGTGCCTGGGCTCTTCCCTTTCAGGAAAGGATGCTCTGTTTCTCTGTCAATGGGGTGTTCAAGGAAGGTGAGTGTACATAGAGTCCCCTTTCCAGATACCCAACTTCTCCTTTCCCATGGCTGGGCTCCCTCTCAAAACTCTCCTAGTTTCCCTGATCCTTTCCCTTTCCTTCCTATTCCCTCTGTGTTCTCTTGCCTCCACTCTGCCCTCAAACCAACCTGGTCTGACCTGCATCCATGTCTGCATAGCTCAGGCATTAGGGACACACACCGAAGTTTAACGGCTCTCATCTTAGATCTTTACAGTTTGAAGTTTGGCCCATTATGTAACCTCTCATTTTCCTCGTTTGCAAATTGGTCTAATAATACCTGCCTTTGCGGTATTATGAATTTGTGAACTGGTTGCCTCAGAGCTTGGCACATAGTAGCATCCCTGTCAGTGGGAGTAGATTGCCCCTATTGTTGCCCTCCCCATTCCCAACACTCTGACTCCTAATGTACAGTTGTCCCCTTGGGCACGAGTATTGAGTCGGACCCAGACTGGGGAACGCTGTGTGAGTTTGTGAAGTGTGTGTGACTCTAAGGGAGTATTGTTTATTGTTTTTGAAGTGGAAGGAAGGTCTCAGGGTTCTGTGCGTGCCTTCACCCGGACCTTCATCGCTATACCTGCCAGCAGTTCCAGGTGAGTCCTGTGCCAGGGGTGGGAACACCCAGCCCAACCTGGGCTCTCAGGTGTGGGAATGTGATGGTGCAGGTCCTCAGGGTTTCCTCAGTGTTGTGGGAAGCCAACAGGTAGCTCCAAGAAGCAGTCCAGCACAGGGGTTAAGAGCATAGTGGTCTCTGGAAGTAGAGCACTGGATTCTCTTCCTGACCTTAACACTAGAATTATACCTTGGTGAAGTCACATCACCTCTCTGTGACTCAGTGTCTTATTCTGAAAATGGGATTAGATTGTCTTCTCTATTGGGATGTTTTACAGAGTAAATATTTTGGAGTTAAAACTACAAATCCAGTGAAGCTGGTAGACGATCTCTCCAAGGGTGGGCTCTGTGGAAGAGACACAGCTACCAGTCAATCTGTGATGGTGGTGGGCAGGCACAGCCAGGAATGGAAGGAATCTGATTGCCAAGTGGCATTTGGAGCAGGATTGTTGTTGGGGGCATGGGATTGTCCATTCATCAGTTGTCTGATGGCCCATTTTTCCTCCAGTATATTCATCGTGAACGATGAGCTGTTTGTGAGGGACGCCATCCTTAAAAAGACCCTGAGTGCTTTCTCTATCCCAGTGATCGCACCCACCTCCAGCTCCCTGATCACGTTCACCCAGCAGCAGAAGGAAATGGTGCTGGCTTTTTCCACCCAGTCTGGGATGAATCTCCTGTGGTCTCAGAAGTGAGTATTGAGGGTGCACAGATATAGGAGGGAACCCAGAGAATGTGGTGCTGAATAATGGGAACTCATAGGTAACTTGGAAAAATAAATATTTGGATATTTTGCTTCCAGAAATAAAATAGTCCTGTGAAAAATGCATACTAATTTTATGATGATATCTGTGAAGATTTTTTAAAAAACAGTATAATGCTCAGATGACATGACCTTGTATATGGAAAATCCTAAGGAATCCACCAAGAAGCTACTAAAATAGATAAGTTTATCACAGTTTCAGGATCAATATACAAAAATCATTTGTATTTCTATGCACTTACAATGAACAGTCTTAAAATGAAATTAAGAAAATTATTCCATTTATAACAGAATCAAGAAGAATACATACTTAGGAAGACATATAGCTAAAGTAAAAAAAAATATGCTTTCAATCTTAAAAACATATTAGAATAAATTAAATAAGACCTAAAAATGGAAGGACATGTTATGTTTATGGATGACAAGACTTAATATTGTTAAGATGGTAATACTATTCAAAATAGTCCACAGATTCAACACCATTCCTATCAAATCCCATCTGGCTCCTTTCAAGAAATTCATAAGGTGATCCTAAGATCCACATGGAAATTCAATGGACTTAGAATTGTCAAAACAATATTGAAAAGGAAGAATAGGTAGGAGGATTCATAATTGCCTATCCTCACAATTTTAGAACTTCCTACAAAGTTACTGTTATAAAGACTGCATGGTACTGACATTTGGATAGACATTACCATAGAATTGAGGGTCCAGAAATAAACCCTGATTATTTGTAGTCAGTTGATTTTCAACTAGGTCAAAATAATTTTAATGGAGGAAAAAAATAGTCTTTTCAACAAATTGTACTGGAACCTGTATAATCACATGCAAAAAATGAATTTTGACCCTTACCACACACCATATACAAATATTTCTCAAAATGGATCAAAGACCTAAATGTAGGATATACAACTATAAAAACTCTTGAAAGAAAACATAGGTGGATATCTTCATGACATTGAATCAGGCAATGGTTCTTATATATGACACCAAAAGCACAAGCAACCAAAGAAACATACAAACTGGACTTCATCAAAATTAAAATCTTTTGTGTGTTAAAGAACACTATCAAGAAAGTGAAATACAACCCACAGAATGGTAGAAAGTATTTACAAATCTCATATTTGATAGGGTATACTTTCCAGAATATCTGAAGGACACTTACAACTCAACAATAGAAAGACAATCTAAAAATGGGGAAACGATTTGAATAGACATTTCTCTAATGAGGATGTACAAATGACCAACAAGCACATGAAAATATGCTCAACATTATTAGTCATTGTGGAAATGCAAATGAAAACGACAATGAGATACCACTTTAATACACACTAAGATGGTTTTCAGTGAAACAAAGGTAAGTATAGATAAGAATGTGGAGATATTAGAACTTTCATGTATTATTGGTATGAATGTAAAATGAAGCATTCACTGTGGACCATTTTTTGGAAGTTCCTCAAAATATTAAACATGGAGTTACCATATGACCCAGTAATCTCACATCTAATATACCAAGAGAAATGAAAACAGATTCACTCAAAAGCTTGTACAGGAAGGTTCATAGCAGCATTGTTCCTAATAGCCAAAGAGTGTAGACAATCCAAATGTCTTTTAGCTGATGGATAGATAAATCTGGTACATCCATTTAGTGGAATATCATTTCGTCATAAAAAAGAATACAGTTCTGATATACGCCATGACACAGATAAACCTTGAAAACATTACAATAAGTGAAAGAAGCAGTTTAAAAAAGTCATATATTATATAATTGCATTTATATGAAATGTCCAGTATAGGGAAATTCATATGAACTGAAAGCAGATTTGTGGTTGCCAGGGTCTAGGGGAAGGAGAAGAATAGGGAGCGATCTGTTATCTTAAAGAATTTCTTTTTGAGGTGATAAAAATATTTTGGAATTAGAGGACCGAAAAAAATGGCGTAGATGAGACTCTGTTCACCTCTCTGGCAACCAGTTCAAAGTTGTGACAGGAACAAGGAGCAGCAGCAAGGAAAAATTGCCTAGGATCTAGATGAACAAGCCATACAAATAGGGAGAAATACAAGAAATCACCCTGTGACAGCAGAAGGTAGGACAGGGCGAGGACTCAGGGCTGCCCGGTTTCCAGCGGCTGAGTGAGATGGAGGCTGCGGTAGCGACAGCGGCAGAGGCTCTTAAAGGGGCCGGTCCGCGAGCGGATTTTCTCAGTGATGGACCTGCTCGCTCTGAGCACCATTGCCAATTTAGCTGCGTGCAGGGGGGGCACCAGGGACTTACAGGGAGATATTGTCAGAGTGAGGGCTGAGACGAGACTTGCTCTGTACAGAAGTGCTGGCAGTATCCATTGTTCCCTGTTGAGCCCTCCCCACTCCCAGTGCACAAACACAGCTCTGCTATAGCCTAGACATCATCAAACCGGATAATGGAGGTTGCTCCTCCCAGAGGATTCCCTGAAACCCCGCCTCCCCCAACTCGTGGCTCCACCCAAGCCACATCCAGGTATATCCTCAGCAAGTCAGGTGCTCCTTGCTGAGCAATGCCTAGACTCACACTGGAGGCAGCTGGCCTCGGTTTCTGGTGTGGCCTTTTGAGGCAACTATAAGCA